TCCCTCCTTCTCCCTTTCCAAGGGACACACTGGAAGCCCACAGGGATGTCTGAGCTCTTTGAGCTCCTGGGTTGCTCCTTCTCCAAGACACAGCCCTGCCCCGGCGCGCAGCGCGTGTGCAAACCACTGGCACCATGGAGGGCATTCAGCAACGCAGCAACCGACAGCTTCTGTCCCTGCATTTTGCTCCTTTCCTACTGATGTGCCCCTCTGCTGTCTAATTTCTACTTCCAGCCTCTCCTGGAAGCGGAGCGCTTGCGAGCGGCCGCGAGCGGAGAAAACTCCGCCGATCCCTGCGCGCCGCTTAGAGACGTGTTAGGCCTCTCCCTGCTGCTCCTCTGCACCTGGATGGACGAGGTGCGAAACGGCGGCGCTTGGCACCCGCGCTGCCCCGGGGCGCCGCGGGGACGGCGGCTGCCGCGCGAGCCGCTCCGCTCGCTTTCCTGCTGGGAAATAAAGCGACGGGGATTCCCGGAGGAAACGGGCAGGAAAACAAAAAGGGAAAAGGCTGGGGAGAAGGGGAATGGTGGGGCTGAAGGGAGGGGAGGGGGCAGCCGCACCGACGGCGCCGTCGCCACGAGGAACGCCAGAAAAATACGTGGAAGATCCCTAAAATCCCATGTCACGAGTGGATGTATCAGCAATGGGGGCATCCGGATGGGGAAAAACGGGGCATCTCGTGCCAAGGACCGGATGCAAAAGCCTCTCTAAACGGGAACCGAGGACGAGGGGCGCGAGCAGGGACCGGCAGGCGAAAGCAATTAGAGCAGGAAGGCCTGGGAGAGCCCAACGCGACGCTATGAAATCACCGATATTAATAGAGAGAGATCTGCAATTAGCTGCTCCGGCGCAGGGCAGAGCCCGGGCTGCCTCTGCGCTGCTTGTTGGGCAGGATCCTCCGCGCAAAGTTCCCTGCAAACTGCCACCTCCTCGGGACGCAGGCGCCTGCTTGGCTGCCGTGAAATATCTAGTCGTCTGCTGAGGGGTAATTAAAAAATTTAATAGGATTTCGGTACTTACTGAAATTATTTCCTTCCACGCACGCGCGCGGCGTTGCCGATCGATGGGGAAACAGTTTGTGGAGGGTTTGGGGATGCTGCGTGGCTGCGAACGCTCTTGCACTGCTAAGAGCCCCCGAATTACAGTGTCTGCAGGTGGAAGGAGCTGCTCGTAGCCCCCTGTTCATCGGGCAGCATTTCCGAAGATCGTAACGTCCAAAAAAGCGGATTTCACACCCAGTAACAACAGGCGATGGATGAGCCAGTTGGCCAGCAAGGCTGGCGTTAACGACGGTGCCACTTTAATCACGTTGCCCTGTTATATTTAAAAAAATCTGCGGCTCTATCTGCGTAGCCTCGTGCTGGCATGTGCCTGCGTCGCTACTCGTAGGGATTCAAGCGACTGGAGAGGAGAGCTGGGCCGGGAAGGCAGGGGAGGATGAACGGGAAGGAGCCGGCCTTGTTATTAAAATCCGCTAATTAGTTTGCCTTGCGCTCCTCACCCTTGGGCTTAAGAGCAGGCAGGGAATTTCCCCACGGATAAAGCCGGTTCTGGAAGGAAAACACACTCCGTAGGAACCGCAGTGGGCGCCGGGGCCATTTTCCTTCCGTTTCGGAACCGAATTTCCCTTTCTCCAAGTGTCTCGTAACACCCCGGCGGCTGGGATTTGGGAGGGCTCCGTTAAACACACGCGGAGCATCAGGAAACAGGAATTCTCCCAAATCCTGCAAGGGCGGCCCATGCTCCTCATGAAAAGGAACGGGACAAGGCATCCGTTTGGGATCCACGAGGAGTTTGCTGCGTCTCCCTAACGTCCTCTTGGCACCAGCCAACACTTGCTGGAAGCCCTGAACTCAAAATTCCCAATGGGAAGCTCAGGGAGGAGAGCAAGTGTGGCAATTGTATGGGAAAAAAAAACAGGTTTTCTAATGAAAACCACCTGCTTTTGCCCCTATTAGGGTGCAAGAGCTGCCTATGCACTAATGCCAGTGAATGCTGTGCGCAAAGAGCCGGGAAATCGCACAGGGATAAAGGGAAAAGGTCTCCCTTTTTCCCAGCCCACGGGTCGCTCCGTGCTCAGGGCTCAAGGGCTGCTCAGAACGGACCCAAGCGCCCCAGCACTGGTGACAAGGGCTTACCCAGCTCCCTTCAGCACCAAGAAGGCTTTAAGGGGTAACCTGGGGGGAAAAATGCAAGAAGTAAAAGCACAAAACGTCTTTCCTAAGGGTTTAAACCCTTTTTGCTTTCCTGCAGGCCAGATCCCTGCCAGGACATCGGAGTTTCCTCCAGCGCGCAGCAACGTGGATTTCTTCCCAATGGGTGTCCCAGGTGTTTTCTGTGTAAGCAAAGCACATGATGTGGCTGCCCAAACAGGCAGTTCTTGTGAAAACATCAGCACCGAATGAGGGTTTTTTTAAAGGGAAGAAGTGAAATTCAAATTGTTCTCGCTGCAAAATGATTCCCTAATTTCCTCCCGAAAAGCCTAAGTCCCCGTCAGACATGTCAAATCCCATGGGTGGCTTTCCTGCTGTATCTGCTGCAAGCCTGGGTCTGTGGGGATGCACAGAGCCCTCTGAAACGCGGGATACAACCCCTAAGAGAAGGGAATGGCCGGAGCAGCGTCCGAGCCCTCCGGCTGGTGGAAGATGCGGGAGCTGCGACTGCCCGGCCCGGCACGGGCATCGGCCAGGAGAAACCCAACCAGAAATCCGTTTGCTAGAGGAAGGGATGAGGTTGAACAAGGCAGGTACAAGGGAAAACGCCAGCGGGAGGCACCACCCCGGGTGCAGGCAGGGCTGCTGCGGGGGCTCTAAATTAGGGGGAAAACCAGAGCTGCCGAGAAGGCGCTCGCCGCTAAATTTAATCTCAAAGTGAATTTTCTTGCCTTATCTCCCTCTCTGTAAAGATACCTGGGTTACCAGAGGAGATTTTAACCCTTTCTTTGGCTGGGCTGCATCTGAGAAGCTGCCTGATGTTCAGAGCCTCCTGTCTCAAAACCTGCTCTGGTTATGTACAGGAAAGAAAACAGAAATCAAGAGTGAACCGTAGAGGAACAGGAGCTTTGGGGGTTGTTTGTTGGTGACAGGGCTCACCCGCTTCCCATGAGAAGGTAGCTGCTACATACAGAGGGAAGAGCGATCGTTTTGTGGCAAAAACCCTGAATTTGACTGTTTATTCATGGCACAAATCTGCCAGCGCAGCTTAATGATTAACCCTGAGCACCACTTCGGTCCCTCCATTGGGGCTGTTGGTTTCCTACTGCTTAACAACAAATATTCCCATGGGAAGTTCAGCCCATGGACAGCCCCAGCCCAGCAGGCAGTCGGGAATAACACTCAGAAATGCTGGATACAGAGTTTGAAACCATCCTATCCCCCGTGTCCCGGACGGAGCAGCCTGAGCCCCGGAGCTGAGCGCACCAGGAGGCTCCTCCTGCCCTTGGTACCCAAGAGCAGCCTCAGAGCAGCTTGTGCTGCACCAGGACCAGCTCCTTTTCCCTTCCAACCACTCCAACCCGACTCTCCCACAAGCCCAGGGAGCTCCTGCCTATTCCTGGCTCACAACCTTCCAGCCGGGAGCGGATTTTCCAGGGGAATCAGCAGGGGTGACGCTCTCCCCTTTTAAAATCCCCCTTTTTAAAGCTCTAGTTATGGACTCAATTTGCCTGTTTGGAAGCCACAACGCTGCAAAGCAGCCTCCGACGCAGCCCGGACCGACCAAAACCATGCGGTGCCCTTAGGACCAAACCTCCGCGGGCCGCTCTGCCAAGCTGCAACGAGCTATTGAATTCTGGAACTCCAGCCATAATCCCGTATTTTTAAGCCTGGAAAACAGTCCGCAGAGCCCCCAACGCCGCGCGGACGGAGCACACCTCTCACACACGGAAAACAACCCAAAATGATGCCAAGGACAGGGGAAATGGCGACTTCTGCGTTCCGTGTTCTCAATAATTCATTCCACATGAAGAGGTGCTGCAGCAAAAGCCACCTCAGTGACAAGTTTAAACATTTTTTGCCAGAGGAAAGAAAATAAAACACAGACTTGGAAACTTACCTCTCTCTTCCAGAGGTGAAAGATGGTTCATGGGAGAAAATTGGACTCGTCGAGTTAATTAAACGGCAAAACAAGCGGATCCTAGAGTTTCAGCACACACAGGCATCCATCCTCCAGCGGCTCTTCTGATCGGCAACCGGCATCAATTTCAGATTCCTGAGGAGAAAAAGGGAGTTTGTTTGCATTATTCCCCAAATAATTCCATGTTGCAAGCTGCGATTTTCGGCATCAGTGCAAAACCAGTGGAGTTTGGGTCAAACCGGCAGCTCGCGGCGGTGCCGCTCGCAGTTTCTTGGCCTTACCAAACCCGTGAGTTTCAAACGTCTCGATTTTTATGCGAGGGAATCGCATCCAGCAGCACTTGGAGCCGCTCGGGGGAAGAAATGCGGATTGAACGCTCCCGAGAGGCGTTTTTCCCTCTCCCTCCCTCCCTGCCACTCCTCAGAACTAAGGAGCGCCCTGTGGAAAAGCCCCGCGCCGGCGGCGCCGCGGATCGGGAGATAAAACCCTCGCGCCCGGGAACGGCCCCGGGTGCTCCCGCGCGCCGCCGCCAACTCGTTCAACGCGGTGCGCGCCGCCGTGGGACTCCTACTGCCAAGAACTCCAGGTTGCAATTAGTCTTAATGAACTTCGGCACCTAGGAGCCCTTGGCAATCCCACCTGGTTGCTCCAGCTTCCCCCCGGCGTCAGTGCGAAGCACTCGGTCCATGAGTGTCCCAGGGAGATGACCCAGGAGACGCCCCATGGAGATGTCCAAGGAGATACCTCATGGAGATGGCCAAGGAGATGCCCCATGGAGATGACCCAGGAGATGCGCATGGAGATGACCCAGGAGATGCCCATGGAGATGCCCAAGGAGATATCCATGGAGATGGCCAAGGAGGTGCCCCATGGAGATGACCCAGGAAATGACCCATGGAGATGCCCCAAGCCAAGAGGAACCACCATGGGCACACGAGCATGGGAAGGGAGAAGGAAGACCCCAAGGTTGGCGCGGGATGAGCAAAGGCAACGGCCGGATCAGCACCCAAAGCACCTTGGTCAAAATCCACCTTCGGGTGCTGAAATGACTCCCCAGATCAGGAGAGATGGACTGAGGCAATTGCTTCCCGGGTGCAAAAGCAGAGCCCGACCTAAAGGCACCGCATCCCTGAGCGGCGTGCCCAGGGATCTGCTGTTTGTCCCTTGGATAAACAGCTCCAATGACTCAGAAGAGGGGACGTTGGGAGGAGAAGAACATAAATTCCAGCAGAAACCCCAGGAAGGTGTTTCTGGATGCTGGCGGGGGGCAGCCGAAGCTCCCGAAGCAACGGGGGAATGTTGTTCCCGTGTCCAAAAGCCAAGCACCCATGTCAAGCTGGATCTCATGGAACGGAAAACTAAAAACCCCTGTGGCGAGTGAGCAAAGGGTAAAGCACTGTCAGAGACAGGACGTGGTGTGAATCCACAGAAACGGCGCCACGAAAACCTCTTACTCTTAGGTTTTAGTAAACTGAGTTTTAAAAACGCCTCCAGGAAGAAGGAATTCCAGGGATGGCGGAGGAGCGTTATTGTCCAGGAACAGAGCAGCACAGGTCAGCTGGAAGCCAGGAGATCTTAACCTGCATCCCGGGGGGTCCAAAGGAGCTGGATGAGAAGCCCTCTGCTCCGTTTATCAACATTTTCAGCAGGCGTCAGCTCTAGAGGTTCCAGAAGATCGAAGGCAACCTGGAATTGTGCAATATTTGCCGTGGGGGAGCAGGACGAGCAGCCCCACGGGAAGCGGCCTGTCCCTCCGGCAGGACGAGGGACGCGGTGACATTAACCCTGTCCAGGGCTATGGGAACAGCACTGTCCCGCGCGGGCCCTTGTGTCTCAGGAGAGCCGGCGCGTTCCCGAGGCACCGCGGAGCCCCTCGCAGCCCTGGGAATCATTCACCTTCGCGCCGCACCAGCTCGGGAGTAACTGGAATTACGTTACATAACCCGGAATACGTAGAGCGGATTAATAATTGGCCAGCTGGCAAGTCCCAGAGCTCAGCGTGTGGGAATCCCGGGAGGCTCCGTCCTCCGGCCCTGCTCGTCCCCTCTCCTGCAGGAAGCCGCTGCCACCCCTGACTCCAAGAGCTCCAACAGCGCCGAGCACAAGGGCTGGATCCACCTGCGTGTCCCTATTGCACGAATCATAGAATCATAGAATGCTTAGGGTTGGAAGGGACCTCTAGAGATCACCCAGTCCAACCCCCTGCACACGCAGGGTCACCTAGAGCACGTGGCACAGGACTGCGTCCAAGCGGGTTTGAAGATCTCCAGAGAAGGAACCTCCACAACCTCTCTGGGCAGCCTGTTCCAGTGGTCTGTCACCCTCACTGGGAAGAAAATTTTCCTCAAGTTCCTGTGGAATTTTTGGTGCTTCGGTTTCCGGCCATTTCCTCTAGTTCGGTCAGTGGCCACCAGCGAAAAGAGACCAGCACCATCCTCCTCACTGCCTCCCTTGAGGTACTTCTAGACACTGCTCAGGTCCCCTCTCAGCCTTCTCTTCTCCAGCTGAACAGGCCCCGCTCCCTCAGCCTCTCCTCATAGGGCAGATGTTCCAGGCCCCTGATCATCCTTGTAGCCCTGCGCTGGACTCTCTCCAGCAGCTCCACATCCCTCTTGTCCTGTGGAGCCCAGAACTGGACACAATACTCCAGATGCGGCCTCACTAGGGCTGAGTAATTGCACCCAGGAGCAAGGATGCTCTTCAGTCCGGAGGAGACGTGACGAGCAGGGACACAGAGGGCTCCCGGCGCCTCGGGAAGCGGCCTCGGACGGCGGCTGTCCCTGTATCCTCCAGCACAAGAGCAAGCGGCTACCAGTAGAAGTCGTGTCCGGATGAGGAGGTTCTGGAGATGTTGCTGGAGGAGACGGAGCTTGGCGGAGATGGCTGGTGGAGATGGAGGTGAAGTATCGCGCTTGTCCGTCCAGATCTCCTGTCCTTTTGGAAGCAGGTCACAGGGTGGACACATCCTTCGCTAATTAATACTGTTCTTATTAGCCCCACACGACAGAGGAGCAGAGGGGACACAGCAAAGCCGTAGCTGAGCGTGCTGAGCAGGAGGGCTCTGGTGTCCAGGCCTGCAGCACAGGCTGAATCCAACCGCAGAAAGCAGCTCCATGAAGCAGACACCACGAGGCCTCCTTGGGATACAGGGAGCAGCAAAGATCTTCCACGGGTAATTCCCTGCCAGAGGCCACCTATGGCTTCAGGTTCTCTAATATCATCCACTTCTTTTCTCTCGTTCCCAAGCACAGGAAGGTTTTGCTCTGCTTCCGCAGGCCAGGAATGATAGTCCAGGAACCCGTGACCCAGCAGAGAAACAGCTACCACGAAACCTGCCCGCAAACAGGAGCCCGTGAGCCACAGCAAGAGCCTCGCGGAGCAGCTTTGGGCCTTGTCTTTCCAACGCACAGCACCGCCGTGTTTACTTTATTCAATTTAGAACTTATTTAATATTATATACACAATATTACACCCAACTATATAAAGCGTTCCCAAAGCAGCGCCAGTTTTCACTATTTTCCCCCCTGAAGCAGCCACGGTTTGAATTTAGTTTCGCTCAGGAAGGTTCTACACGTTTGGAGCATGGGGAGAGCCTCTTTACCTCCCGCTCCGCTTCTTCACACGCCGCTGCCCCGTTCATACCCGCCACGAACAGGGGAGGGAAACGCCAGGGAAGTGCTGCAAATTAAAAGGTCAACAAAACAACCGCTGCATTTGGAAAAAAAACGATTTTACACAACTTAGAACTTAACCAAAAACAAGAAAAAATATATACACATATACATATGCGCACGCACTTTTGCATGTAGCTTTGTTGCAGTAGAGCAAGTTGCCTTATCGGCTTGCAAGGAGGTTGCATGAACAACTCTGTGTATTTCTAAGGCTTTTGAACGCAGGGTCTTGTGAGGATCTTCCTTGTCCTCACTGGAACTGCAAGGCTTAAATGAAAAGCAGAAAGTGTAAAATGGGTTTTGGAAGAGATCCGGCAAATAAATTGATCGGTTTCCTTGGCCAATCGATAGGAAACAGCAACACCGCTGTGGAGGCTGCTCCCATTGCTACGGACCTGCTCCCAGGAAAAGTGGTTGCTCAGGTTGAAATCTCTCCCGTACCATGGTCGGAGCAGCATCTGCCACCACCTTTCCACCCGCACCAGATCCAAGGGCCCAGGAGGCCGCTCGTTTTGCTGTGCCCAAAACAACCCTCGGGTCATTGAGCACCTTTGCTGCACTCCTCCTATGGGTTTTTAGGGGCTTCCTCATAGAGGTTGGAGCAAATTCCTCATCCACCGGCTGCGCTCGAGCTCTGTGAACATCCTGATCTTGCAGGAACATCCCTGTTCCCAGGGAGAACATCCAGCTTCCCTCATTAGGACTCATTTGCTTCCAAGATAAATTACACACAAATGATCATGTCCCCAGCTCCAGCGCTCAGGACTTTGCCTCCAAAGACTACACTTATCTCAAGAGCTACCTGCCATCAATTGCAAACTGCTGTGTCACACTGATGGCAGAGGCCGGGGCTGTTTCCTTGATAACAGCCCTTTGGAAAGGCTGGAATTGCATCGCACTTCCCAAGGGCGACACTTCAGAGTTATCTTCAGGTAATCTAGCAGAGATCATGGGGGAAAGAAATAGAATAAGGGGTACGAAGAGCTGTGCAAATGTTGATTTCATGTGCACGGTCAAAAGTGCTACCACACATCAAAGGAAAAAATAATCCTGAAAAAAACCACTAATCTGATGTCTGCTGCAACGATCTTGATCTGGGGGCCTCGGAGTGACTCTCAATTCTTCCCTCCTTCTTTCCCCGCGCGTGCTCTGAGCTGCACTGCAAAACTTAATTTAAAATCTCTAATGATAAAACCTCTTATATGAAGGATATTACACATAAAGCAGAGAGAGGGGTCAGAACCCTGAGTTAGTTAACAACTTGAAGACATGCTGGGGTCCAACAGCGACAGCTTGACTATTTATTCAAAAGTCTGGACTTCTGGCTCTCAATTATCACAGATTTAAGCAGTGTTTGATATGTGCATTAAAGATGCCCTGGCATCTGCAGCGCCGAACAAACGACGCTT